TATATATACACAAAATTTTCTTATTTCATAATTTTGTTACTGTAAGTAATAAGCTATTAATTACTAAACGTAATTAAAAATATAACAGTTTACATCAACGAGATCAATTGAGCGTTTAGCATACTTTTCATTTTTTCTTTACATTTATATAAATCATTTTAAACTGAATAATACATTTATTTAAAAAATGAAATGGCAATTCCATGTCATCTTTTGGGCAGTATGTTTTTGATTTATACAATAAATCCTTCTTTCTTATGCATTATCACACTGAAATTACTACAATACAATAGACTAGCTTATGAAAATATAATATCACGTTTTCTTAACAATGTTAAGTTCTAAATTTATCACGAAATATTATCAGTCTTAATAATATATCTTTTTTCTTTCTACAAAAATTAATATTTTAATTATATTGAGCTTGAATTCCTATATTGCAGATATAGAACGAGGATATTGTCCTCGCATTGCTTTTAAATGGCAAGACTATACTGATATTGTTGATTAAAATAAGATCTTTAAGGCATTTGATAGTAAAATAGTTTTGCGATATTATCTTTACAGTTAATTACATTAGCTGTATATTATATCACGGATGGCAGTAGACAAAAAAAAAATATCATTAGATTATGTTTAATTAAAATAGTGTTGCTTTTACATATAAAGGACTTTAGTTACCGTTTGAAAATTCAATTACTTATAAGATATTGAAGATTACTCAAAAGCATAAAAAAAATAGTCTGAATCATCTTTTTATCTATAATACGGTAAACAATATCTAAATATCTATACATATACATATATATATATACATATATATGTACATATACATTCACATGTATAATCATATCAAACCTTATGAATGAGATAACACTCGTTAACTCCTAAATTCAATTGAAAATATAAATACGAGATCTTTTAGAGGATGCAAAGAGAAAAATATACGTTTTAAGGGAGTTTGAAAAAAGATGGAGAAGAATATTGTAGAAATTTGGGAGAATATTGTTTCCTCACTTGATTACGTCGAAAAGCCTGAGGATTTGGAGCATAACCTATTGTTCCTTGCATTTTCATTGTGCGCAGGACTTCAGAATCAATTGGAGGAGTTTTCCTGCAGATTAATAAAGCAATACATAGCGCTTATTAAATTAAATATTGTGTTAGTAGTCAGAAAAAATCTTGACACATTATTATAATATAAAATAAATAATTTAGTAAGACAAACATTTCTTAGAAGCTATAGTAATAATACCATACCTGTAAATTTTCTTTAATAATTCTTCTGGCCAATCACTTAGTAATGGATGTCCGGTATACATCACAGGTATGGCACTGAATGGTGTAAGATCATCATCAAATGGTATAGGTTGAAGAGAATCAACAGGATCAGCAAATTCTGTAGGTCTAATAAAAGAAAAGTTTAATTTGTGCATTAATTATTGCAATTAATAAAGTATCTATAGAATAGTTATTAACCTTGAAAATGTATTAAACTGAGGTTCAGAAGTATTTGTAGACATTAAATGTATAGATCCTCCAGAATCTCCAAAACAAAGACATTGAGATGTAGAAGATACATCAAACGATAGTATAAGCCCTCCATTAGTGGCAACCTATAATTACATATGTAAACGTGTGTGTGTAACCACTTATAAATAATAATCATAAATTAAAGCCAATTATATAAGCATTCACCTGATATAAACATGTTAAAGGTTGTTGTACGTTGGCATAGATTGTATCAAGCAATTGCATTTGTCCTAAAGGAGAAACAACTGCAAGTCGGCTGGAATAGCTTGGGAGGAATTTTAAGAGAAGAGGGTACACCAATGTTGTAACAGGACTTAAAGCTCGCATTTGTCTTAAGTCATATGCCATCAAAAATCGGTCTACTGTCAGACCCTGACGACTATATATATTACAATATATAAATAAATTAAAAACATTTAAATAATCTCAAATCTATTAATTAATAATGACTATTTTTACCTATGACTGAAACCACAGGTAACAAGATAATTTCCCTGAACATCAAAATCACTAAGGGAACCGCTATGAGTATCAAAAGTATGTTCTATAGATAACGTATTTGGATCCCTGAGATCAATTCTTCCTGCTGGATTACCAGCACATATAAGTCTACTATGCTGCCTTAATATTGCACAACCATTTTCTCCCACATGAACCTAACAATGAGAAGTATTTATAGTTGTCGATATGAAGTTGATTTATAAATATATCAAAATGTCTTACTAATCCAGTCTCCTTTCCTCTAGTAAGATTAAAATCAATGATTTTTTCTTGATGTCCTCCCATTAACATTCTAGTTGGAGAAATTTGAAGCATGCATTGCATATCTACCATGTTCGATGACCTACAATTTGATAACATTTAATATAGAAGTATAAAATTTTCTCATGAGTATATGTGTACATACATATGTGTGAATATTGGTATGCCACGTCTTAATTGGCATCGCAATATGCTTTGAGTGAGCACCAAAATTCCTTCATCTAGCGGATGAATTTGTCGTACTTCCTGTGTTGCGTGTACTTGGAAGGAAGTATATTTTTGTAAGCCAGGACCATAATAAGATGTTACGTGACCCTATAAAAAATATGATTGCATAAACAGGAAGTATAAAAGTTCAAAATCTATACGCAAGCATTATAGTTGATATAAGAAATACACTTTAAGAATTGAATTAAAGTTGTAATACCCCTTGATTTCCCATCCACATAAGTTCCTCGATGGTATCGAAAGTAGCAGTGGAAACTCCAAACCTATCTCCCCCATCTGCGAGCAATGTTCGAGTTTCACGAAATTCAGCTCCTATAAATTCCTCTTCAAATTGTTCAGGTGCAGGCATATACTCATCGCTTGGTAATACATAATTTGATTCTCCCCCTAAAACGTAAGATAACAAATTATAACCAAACCTAAAAAGAGAAACCTTTAATCTTTTCGCATATAACGTACGAGAATTCTTATTGTACGAAATTTGACAAGAAAACATGAAACAAATACACTTCAATATCCATTCTTAAAACTGCAACTTTATGCACAATTTATTAACCGAAAGAAATATTACAAATATTAAAAACAGAGACTTGTCATTGATGTCAAAACAACCGCAAAAACAAAAGATTAGTAGTAAACGATAAGAAAGATAAGCAAAGAGATAAATTAACATTGACGGAATTGGAAGGGAAAAAGAACAAAAGAATGCGACGTTTATAAGAAATTACAAATTTGGCGCCTTTTCTAAGCCTCCGTCATATCGAACGATATATACGCATACATACATCTTTATATATACATACGTCATCTCTAGCATAGAAATCTCTTAGAGAGCACTTTGACAAGGAACGATGTTTTCGCGCGTTTTTTTTTTTTTTATTATGTGACTTCACATCTTCCCCTTTATTACCTCCGACACCGAAGAGTTGAAATAAAAAAGGATCGCAAGGTAGATGATGGAAAGATCTAGAAAACTCACAAAGTAGTTCTTGCTGGTCTACACCATTACCGGCTGTCTCATCCGTTACGGATGGGTCGTAGTGATTTAAAATCGGATAGTCCATGATCTCTTTATTTTTTTCTCCCTGCCTGTCTTTCACTTTATTTCACACTCTTTCTCTTTCTTTCTTTTCTTCTCTCTCTCTCTCTCTCTTTCTCCTTGTTTCCTTCCTGCCTTCCCCTTTTCACCTCTTCCACCCCGCCTCGTCAACTCTCCCTTCTTTTTTTTCTTTTTTTCTTCAAATCGATCGATTTAGGAACATTGAATAATCATCGAAGGAACTTGAAAATCGACATCTCGACGATTGGCGTCGATCCACTCTCATAGCACACTTTTTCGGAGCATGCACGTATAACGTACGTTAGTAATAAAAGGGGACCCTCTTTTAGTCGCCTAGGCAACTGCGTGCAACAAGCGAAACTTTGACCACACTAATATAAGATTAGATCTGATCTATTTTGCCGAAATACACGTTATCTTATCTTCAATCTTGGTCCGCATTCTAAACTCTTTTTTCTTTCCTTTTATTTTCCACGTTATAATCCGGACAAACCTCTCACCGCGATACCTTTAATTCATCATTCCGATTTTCTACGTCTCTTTTCTTCGTTTGACGATGACAACGACAACGACGACGACGTCAACGGCGAATACTCGAGGACGACGAGGACGACAACGACGACGACGTACAATGGCCTTGAAAACGGCGCCATCTGTCATTGCTTCGAATGCACGTACTCACTCTCAAGTTGGTTCTCTTTCGAGGTTAAGTTACCGATTGAAGGAACGTTGCTATTAAATTTAACGCGCGAAAATTCTTTATAATCGATTGTAGTTTAAATTTTCTTTTTTTTTTCATTTGCTTTTTTATTAATTTTTGTTTCTATTGTCACAAAAGGATAAAAACAACAAAACGTTCTTCTTAGCTTTTGAATTTTTTTCTTTATTTATTTATTTATTAAATAAAGAGGATGGATATTGAGATAAGATGATGGATTTATAATTATCCGATTTATTGGAAATTTTTTTTCTCTTTTTACACTGTTAAGATCGAGCTTTTATATACTTAAAGTCTGAAAATAAAATATCAGAAAGACGAGCGAAATGTACGAAGAAGCAAAACATTTTTATAGAACATTCATGTTCATGTGTATGTATATTATATATGTGTGTATGTATAGATTTCATAAGCTATAATTAACATTTTATGTATCACATGAAGAACGACGATGATCACAGGATTAGACGGTCCCAAGTATCTTATAACGGAGGGATATAACAATTGTTATTTTATTTCTCTTTTTACCTAATTATTACCAAAATATTTCCCAACTCGTTAGTTCTCGAAAATATATCTTTTTCTTTTCTTTTTATCTCATTGGTTCTTCCTATACATAAATAGAATGTATAAGAACTTATACAATTCGTTTCTTGTCGTTGAACTTCATTGAGATGTTATTTAGTAATCATACGTAGTTTACTTGCTAAAAACATAAGGTCATCATTAGTAATGAAATCAAATGAAATCAAATGAAATATGAAAATTGTATCTTTCTAAACATACACGCATAATAATTGATCTTGCATAGTTGTTGTGAAGATTGAAAACAATTTTTTATGATTCCATTTGGAGTAAGTACGGACGCTAAGAAGTCATTCCGTTTGATACGGATGACATACAAAGTTTCAGATGCGAACAGCAGTCAGATTCATACCAATAAGAAATAATGAATTTCTCGTAAAAGTTATCCTCCATGCATGATGGGCCTTAATGACGTTCAAAACGTTTATGAATATGTGCATGTATGTATATATATATATATATTTTGTATTTATATATGTAGGTTGGATTTGATATAAGGTCCTGGATATGATCTCGTTGTGCATCGTGCATAAAAGACCTGTTGGAAGTATTGGAAATGAAAATAAATCTAAGATAAGCTCTTATAAGATGGAATCGAGAGGATCGAAGTTTTAAAACGATGAGATTCTTAGGAAGAAGAGAACGTTCGTTCGTTCGATCGATCGATCGATCGATATACGTCGAGATAAGATGGACGTTGAATTCCATAGCTCCTTTGAATGCACTTTACCTTAATGGCGACGGATCAAACGTGTACGATGATGAAGAGCGGTGATAAGTACTCCGATTTCTTCCTCGGACTCGGCCGATTGACGTCGTGACATTCGTATATTTGGCGTGCCAGTGGCCGGTGGAGCCGATCGTTTATTGTTAGCCTGTTGCGTTGGGAAGGAAGAACGTCGAATAAGCGGGGCTGGTCGCTCCCCTAGAAAACGAATAATAAAATATAATTAAATGATATTTCATTTACCGATTTATTAAACGATCATCATATTATATACTATTATGCATAATATATTTAGGTATCATACCCAAGAGACGCAAAGAAGATCGATGCATTCCTAACAATTCGAAGGATTTTTGACTCTTCATTGGCTCTCTTGGTAAGAAGCGTCTTTGAATCGGAAGATCAACGGTGGAGCTTTTTCTTGAAGGGACGTTACCTCTCGACGAAGAATCCTTATTCTTTTGTTAAAGATATGCGACCTTTTAGACGTTTACTCTGATTTTAACATCGAGGAAGAAAGAAGATAAAGTATTTTTCAACATTGAGACGAGCTAGAGTTTGAATGATTAGTAAGTAGATATTTATGTTATGCTTAAATGTAGAATAGAGAAAAAAAAAAAAGATAATGAGATGATGAAGAGAAAGGCGATACCTTGTCCGTGGAAAATCTAATCCGTAGTACTTCGACCAAAGCTGCGATCGCTGAAACGAGAAGCATCGTCACGAGAATGTGCCCTGCAACTGAAATGAATTCGATTTATCTCTCATTGTCAATTCAACATTGAGTATTGTTTCGATTTTTTTTTTTTTTTTATATTCTTACCAACGATTTCCTTCGATTCTTGCGACTTCTCTTCTTCGTTATCCTCCACTTTCTTCTTCTTCTTCTCCTCTTCCTCCTTTTTCACTTCCTTTTCTATTTTCTTATTCACCTTTAACACCAACTCGTTGACTTGCTCGAACGAATCGAGATTAGTTTCTTCTTTCTGTTTCGTAATAACTTCCACGTACATACAATTCTCATCGTAATCGCTGTAAAAGATCGATCTTATCCGATCTTTGTAACCATGTCTTCTGCACAATTTCAATTTACGATAATCGATTAACAATTGTAATATCTCTTTGTTCTTATTCTCGTTGGACAATGTATCAGTATCGTTTTCACTCTGATTTTCGTGACTTTGTACATCGTAATTCGTATTCAAAAGTAATTTTAAAGGTAGAGACAATAAAATACCAAATATCGTGAGAATCAGAAGAATACTAACGTTGATACCCAACGAAAGACGTTTTTCCGTCATCCTGATGAAAGACGTTAAAAATCTAGCTTTATTCTTATCGTTTCTTCGTTAATCAACAATTTCATTTTACGATATTTAAGCAAGGTCGATATTTTGTCGCACTCTTTCATCGTTAAATCTTCATTATAATTTCATTTGGCCACTTGACGCGAACGATTTTCTAAATTATCGTTTATTTGTGATTTGTTCATTTCTTTTATTTCGATCACATTATCGATCATTCGTAAGTAGTACAGACGAGAAAGAGAGTAACACCGGGACGACGATACCTTATGGTTGTTATCGGTCAAATGTACGACGACTCAATGGATTTCTACTTCAAGCATCTCTCCTTCCTTCCTTATTGAGACGCAACTGTTGCGCATTATGTTGTCGCTGGAGTTAGAAGCGGACCTGGATGTCGGCTGATATTGATTTCCAGGTAGGCCGAGCTACTAGAGCGCAGGTCCCCGACATCGAGGACGGGTAAGAGTTAGGGGGGAAGGGAAAAGGTAGGTACGTTCCTACGTACGCAACTCGTGTAACCGTTTTATGTTTATGCATATACGACAAAAGGTTGCATCTCTACACGGTGCAATGAACACGTTCAAGGACGGAGAAGAACGAGATCGTTTTTCAATGATCGTTTTTAGTAGACAATGAGAAAGATACTCCTTAAACTTTAGTATTTTCGAATTTATGATTGGTTTCGATTTTACCAATCAAAATTTAGATTTAAACCAAAGGTACGATAGATAGAGACGATATCGAATCTAAAGAGGGTCACAAATGGGACTCTACGTTAAGATGGCAAGTAAGAATGTTTCGAGATCGGAGTTAAGTCGTCGATACTCTTATCATCAGATTTCTTATTCAGACGTATACGTACGGTAAGAAAATGGAATGTTCCAAACGGTCTCCCGCGTAGTTTGTGCATATATAAATAATATTAGACAATATCAAAATGAAAGTTCGCATCTTTTTGCAAGTCAACAATGGACCGTAATACAGCAACAAAGGAAACGCCCGCGACGGTGGCAGCGGTACGCCTCGGCGGCATTTATAAAAGTAATAAAACGGTCCAACGACGACTCTTGGGAGTAGCAGCGGCCGTCGAAAGAGAGAAGCAGAAAGAGAGAAGCAGAAAGAGAGAAGCAGAAAGAGAGAGGATGATAAGGGGACAGCGGGACGGGGGGCAAGGGACAGGAAAAGAGAGCAAAAGGGAGAGATGAAACACAGGAGAACAGCGACCCGACCCGACCGACCGGTAGCTCAGCCAGCACACGTATATCTTGCTCTGCTACACTGCACTCTGATTCTTCGAGGTTCTCATTGATGGGTTTTACCTCATTGTTATCTCGTAACCGTAACGGAAAAATCTTTTTCTACCTATTCGCGAGTACACTATATATATATATATCTGGTATCGTAGAGTAAGTGGACGCGGTAAAGGGGTTAAAAGATAAGACGATAACGTCCAATTAGAGTAACCTGCAGGTAATATCGTATTTTTATCATGCTCGGCTCCATTAACGGGCTTACGAGGAGGTTAGTAGGGGGAGACTGCCGAAGGATCGTGTCGAATTATCTGAAGTACTTGGTTTTTTTTCCTCCTTTGGTCGAATCTCTTCTTTCCTTTCTGTAGTATAGTTGGGATAGGTAATATCGGTAATACTTTGAGGAAGGAAGAGAGTTATCGTCGAGATGCGGGTACCACTGACGTCGTCGTTTTGTCTCTTCTCACGGTGTGTTTCAAGTAGATTTTCAAGAAGAAGAAGAAGAAGAAGAAGTAGGAAAAGGAAAAGGAAAAGGAGAAGTGAAGAGGAAGGTTGAGAGCCAGGGTATGTAGAGCAGATGCTGTGGCCATGGCAGTGGTAGCGGGGTGCGTGATTTTTCACCGCCGACAGCTCCTCCTTCGAGAACCCGCGCATTCCACCTCCCTTCTCCTTCGCCTCTGGCTCAGCTTCTTCTTCTTCTTCTTCTTCTTCTTTTTCCTCCTCTTCATCCTTCACTCTTCGTTCCCATCCACATAAGTGTCTCTCCTTCCTTTTCTCTCTCTCTCTCTCTTTCTCTCTCTCTCTCTCTCTCTCTCTCTCTCTCTCTCTCTCGGTGGTGAACGTTGGCCAACGTATGCCTTGGACACGCCACTGGACACCAGTTGCACGATCTTAGATTTGCTGATCTCGCATATCTCGAGTTCACTTACGTATATGCACACACACAAAGGAATCTTGAACGAACGCATGCGTGTGCATATAACGACGAGAACGACGCGCCACGCGAAGAGCCGCGCCCGCGACGCATCCTCGTCTTCTTCTTCTTCTTGCTTTTGCTTTTAGTTTTCTTCTTCTTCTTCTTCATCTCAATCACCTTTTTTTCTTTTTCGTTTATACGCAAATGCGTGTAGGTAACCGGCGCGTGTACTTGGACTTTCTATCCTTCTTCGATCCTTCTTCCTCTGAAGAAGAATCCAACGAACGCAATTATTTTGAATCCCTCGTATCTTATAATTTTCTTGTTGTCTTTTTTAACAGCACATCTTCTCCTAGTTGATCGATGAATGATCGCAAGTCGAATAAATTTAATAATTAATCGTACCTACCTGTAAGTAATTTACTCTAACGCGCGAGAGAGAGAGAGAAAGGAGATCGATAATGTCCATAACTAGTTGGAGATGTTTTTTTAAGAACGTTTCTTAGGATTTTACAATTAGTCGAGCGTGAAGTGGTAACAGATATTACGGATATCTGGTTCAATCTATTAAATATTTTCTGAGGAAATCAATATTGCAAATATCTATCCACGGTGGATCGCATTAAATATATTATGGAACAAGTCTATGTATAAAGTGCCCCCTTACTCCATGCATCTCCATCGTACTTGATTTGCCGAGTGAGAAAGAGACATGACTATTTATTCGAAGGTAGGTTTACTACTTAACTTTGTAAATACTTGTGCATACCAAAGATTAAATGTTAGGAGCAAAGAATCGAACTAACGTTTGTACTCGGAAAACGTTTCGAATAATACGAACATGTTATGGTTTACTACTATTACTACTACCATTATTCTAGTGTTACTACTATTATTAGTATTATATTACTATCACAAAAACATTATTTTTATATTACCTGTCTTCTGCTACTACTATTACTATTACTGCTACCTTCAAGATTACACTTATGAAAAAGTAGTAGGATCGTAGAGTGAAGAATGCAAGAGATCGTTTAGCTCCATCGATCAAAGCGATATTTTCACGCGTATCGTTTTTTGAAAGCCCCAAAGAAGAAATGAAGAGGAGTCGCGAGGAGCCGCGCCCGAGGTAGAATTCGCGAGGTATCGCAATTACGCAAATTACTGCCCTGTTCTCGCCACCTCCGGGCTTTTACCCTCCTCGGAAGTGCATCGAAGATGAAGAATCCGAGTGCAGTCTCGCATCTATCATCTACCTTTGCCTCGAAAATAAAAAAACGAGTTTAAAAATGAACCATCTTCGAGACGAAAAAAGAATATCATTGAAATATTTTCGAAAATATTAATTATATATATAGTAAACAAAAAAGAAAGAGCAAAAAAATGTCGTGATTTATATCGAGAAAGTAATCATTTAAATTTGTTTAATCATACATTTTTATTTATAATACCTACCTATGTATGCACGAGTAAACGTTGGGTGGCATTGCAAGTAATCAGTAAAAAACACGTTGTTGTGTCAGGATCTTTAGAGGTCTGGTAGTTCGATTCCTTGCCTGGGCATACAGTGTCACGAACGTTTTTGCTCCTTATTGGATAGTCGCAGGACAGTATCGCTAATGGTAGCCGACAGAAAATCCATTAGGTCGTATCGACGTTACTAGAGGAATTTCCAATGGGGGTCGTACACGTCGACGATGCGAATCAAGAAAACGTTGTCTCCCTAAGTACCAACAGTTTCGAATCCTTTTTCTTTTTCTTTTTTTTTATTCATTACTAACCTAAGAGAGTCCCTTGAAGTAAGAGAATAAGAGGCAAGAAAGCAAGGACGTTGAGAGCATTTTTATTCAACGTTCGTTACATTCGCTTCGAAGCGTTCGAGACACTTTAATCGGAAGACTACGTTTTCAACTCGGAGACTCGCCAAACGAAATGGAATTAACACTGGACACGTTTTGCCATCGACAAACAAAAACAGCATTGAAACGTCGATTTTGAATTCGGGATAAAATGCACGAAGTCGTTGTAAATCCCACACCGTTGTTTGCTATTAAAGATCGCGACGAGGAACATCTTACGGAAAAAAAAACACCGGAAAGTTTCGTTCCTAAGCGATAAATAACGGCTCGCTATTGGTACGTTGTTCCCTTTTCGATAAAAGCTCGTAAATCTTGGGCAGCGTTACGCGAGGCATCTCAGAACATAAACTTCTTACGGTTCAGCGGACTTTAAGCGATCGTCAGGTGGTTCGCGTATTAAAAATTTTTATGTTTCAGCTACCGTTGGAAAATAAAAACAGAGAGAGAAGGGAGATGGTGGGGAGAGGGGCGGGGAGGGGGAGGAAGGGAGTAAAAAGAGAAATACTTTTCTTCTTCCTGCATACAAATGTAGGATGGTCGTGAAAGGATAAGAACATTTTCTAAGCACCATCTTACATGAATTTTTCTTAAACCGATGATTTCTTTCGATCGAATTAAGACTGATAGAGGTAGAAGATGTAAGTAACTAACGCGCGGTTGGACTTACTCGACATATTAACGTCATCCTGTTGCACATAACGTCGCACATTTATTTCTCTATCGGCGGCATCCGTTCGAAAGTATCCTCTGTAGAAAGGATGGAAATTTACGCAGAGTTGATAATTAGCGAGCCGAATCGAGTTGCCGGGTTGGAGGATACCAACCGCAGCCGCGCTTACAGTAATCGCCATAAGTTATACCCGGCTACCTTTGGATATAGGTTCGTTGAGATAGGCCAAAAGCGTAAAAATGGTGCGCACGGCGAAAATGTCGCCCAATTAACGGCGAATTGGAGCGACCGAGGTCGCGCGTATATATTTGAACGAGAAACTGAAAAAGGAAAAGAAGAAGAGGAGCAGGAGCAGGAGCAGGAGGAGGAGCAGGAGGAGGAGCAGGAGGAGGAGGAGAATAAGAGAAAATAAATGAAAAGGTAGACACTTAACAACTCGATCGCGTAAAAGCTGCCGCCGCACCATTAGTGAGCAAACTTGAGTAGAATAACGCGGGCTTTTTGAATCGAACGAACAGCATCGGTCCATTCCTTCCTTTCTCTTTCTCTTCTTTCGATATTCAAGACACTTTTACGATTTTATTATCGGTCTCTTACGCCTCGTTTTTCGTATACACTATATAAACGCGTGTGTATTCGAGGTGGGAATCTAAAGTGGAGTAAGTATGTATCTGAAA